AATGCATTTCATGATATTTTAGCATCATGCATATGATACATGAACACTTAGTCATTTTATATGTAGTTATTTGTCATAATGATATGCATTGTAATTTGAAGTGAATTATATGTTTAATATGTTCATTATATAGGCGAATGACTTGGGGTTGCCCAAGAGAATGATTCGGTAAGTTAGAAAATGGACAACAACTTGTTCTTAATGATATTTACAAGAATTACTAAGTGAAAAGTAAAATATAGAGTCCTAATGGGGCTTTAAGGCAAGTTTAATGAAAATGTACATGTTGGTGTGATGTGTGGAAAGGTTTGGATTTGAGTTAATGTGCCAAAGAGACTACTTAAGGTGATTCTAAGGTTGAAATAAGGTTAAGAATGGGATGACAATAAGGGTTTAATAATTGTGTTACTTTAGAAGTCCTAAATTAAGCATATTTTGGCATTCGAGTTTGTGGAATCAAATTGAGATTTTATTAAGGTTCTAAAGGAATTATGGATCCTAATAATTAGGGTAAGAATGAAATAGAAAGTGATTATGTTAGATGTTTAAAATTGAATGAATAGTATGGGAGATATAAAGTTAGGATTTGTCACGTACCGAAATTTCAGTGTAAGCTTACACGCCAAATTTAGTAGGCCAAATGATTGGCTAAGACCTTGCTAAAGCTTTGATAAAAGTTTAAAAGTTTATTTAGAACATTTTTTTTTTAAAAAGATGATTGGCTAAGACCTTAGTAGTTTTAATTTTTTTAGCCGTTTTTAACCGTCAGATCTGTATCAGAAACTATCTATTCTGCATATTTTTTTAACCTTATTTATTTTTAATCAGATTCAATAGTCACAAAACTGGTCTTACCGGTAGGACGACCTACCAGAGACAGTCCCGATAGATAATTATTGAATTTACTCTTAAAATATATGAATCTTAATTTTTATCTCTTATTCTAAATTAATACACTTTTAACTAATATAATTATTTTATTAAAAAGATATTAATAAAAAATAAAAGATAAAAATTTAACATCATGCACTCTAAAAGATTATTTATTTCATTTTCTCCTTCAAATACTTTTAAAAATAATTTTTAGACTCAAAAAGTCAAAAGCAACTTCTAAGACACCAAATGGAGCCGCCCCCCTATAAATAAACACATGACTATAATCATTGCTTATATATAATTACTCCTAATTCCTTTTTCTTTTTCCCTTTCATGTGAAACAATTACTCCTTATTTCGTAATATCCTGATCATGAGCTTTACAGCTACAGGGACATTATATATCAAGATCTCATTTAATTTACAAATTTAAAATTTTAATTTAAATTAAGATATAATTTTATGAGAAAATTTTTCACTATAATAAAAAAATTAAATATAAATTTTTATGAGAATTTTTAATTATAACAAAATTAAAATTAAAAATTCGAATCAATTAAATAAATAAAGCCTAATACTAGAGTACTTCGCACAACCACAAATATCCAAATGCAATTTTCCACGCAAAGCACATCATCCATATTCATAATCTATCTTGTTCAGCCAAAAGAATCATATTAATTTAATTAAACGTTTGATTCATAAATTTAAAATCATAATTTAAAATTATTTTTAATTTATATATATATTTTTATGAAAAAAAATATTATAACAAATTATAAATTATAATTTAAATCAAGATACGAATCTTTACTATGCTATATGAATTTT